TCTGGGGAGGCTTTCTTGGCCAGCGCTGCACTGCAGCACAAGCTGGGGGAGGCCGTGGTGCCCGTGCGGAGGCGTTCGGCTGCCTCGCGCGCCTCGGTCTTCCAGCATCGGAAGCGCTCAGGCGGCGAGAAGCGCGCGGGCGGCGAGAGCACATGACGTATGACGAGTTATTTAGTCGGGTGTCGGGTGTGAGGTGAGGAGGAGGGCCGCCGTGCGTCTGCAACGGAAGCAGCTTACAATCGCGGCCCCGCCGAACCCGAATCATGCTTGGAGCACATTTAGTGCGGTCATCCGAACCTCACGCCCAGGACCGGGGGGAGCTAAGAAGCGCACCCAGTTGCCAGTTGGCCAGACGATTGCGGATTGGCAGACGACGATTGACGTTCTTGGTATCGGGTTGCGGGCTCGAGAGAGCCCTAGCCCTGGCGGGTCGCGGTCGCAGGGCCATAACTCGGTTGGTACCGCGCTCTTCGAAACGGTTTTGATTTTTTCTTTTTTTGCTTGCTCGCCTTCGAGCGGGCGCCCTCCCCTTTTGAGACCGACGAATGCAGCCGACCTCGCCCGGTGCTGGACCGCTTACCCTGGAGCGGCGCCGGCGCGACGAGGCCCTCCGGCGCGACGAAGCCCTCCGCAACTCGGCGAGCCAGCCCGACTGGCTCCGAGCCCTGGAGACACCCGATGAGTTCGCGGCCGCGTCATCCGGCTGCTTCACCCCTACGGCTCAGCTCACCGCAGCGTGCGACGCCACTCCAGGCTGGCTTCGCCACGCCGCCTCGGCGCTCCACCAAGCACAGTCCGAGCGGCAGCCGCTTCGGCTCCTCGCATCGCCTCCTCAGCCGCCTCCTCAGTCGCCGCCTCCTCAGTCGCCGCTGCCCACTGGCCGGACCCTGTGCAACACGCCAGTGCTCGACCCGCGCTGCGACACGGACATCGAGGAGCACTGGCTCAGCGATGGCTGCGGCACCGATCTCGAGGAGGACGTTTGCGGCGCCTCCGGCTCACTCGGCCAGCTCTCGGGAATGCTCGGCCGGCTTCAGATCGAGACCTCCTCCTCCGCCTCCTCCTCCGGCGAGTCAGCAGCCCGTTCGGCGGCGTGCCGGCTCGACCAGCAGCGCAGCGGCGGCGCTTTTGATCGCGCCTCTGCGTGGCTCGAGTGGCGCGAGGAGGAGGCGGCCGGGCGAGTCAGTCCAGGGGCGGGGCGAGCCAGGCAGGAGTGGGGAGAGGAGGGGGAAGAGGAGGGGGAAGAGGAGGGGGAGGGGCAGCCGCGGGCCCTCGACGGGGCATCGCCGCTCGCTCTTCCCCGCGGAGGTGAGGAGGAGACGCGAGGCCCACCCCTTGTGCACGCCGCCGTCAGCCCCGCCCTCCTCCTCCTCCGCCCTCAGGTCTCCTCTTTTCGACGGCACGCTTCGACGCCGAGGCCGTCCTCCTCAGCTGGTGACCTGACTATGATTATTAGTACCACGGTCATCGTTATTGTTCTTCCCAGGCCGTCCTCCTCGACCTTGTCGCCGCCAAGGCCGCCGCCTCGAGGAGCGCGCCGCAGCGCCGCGGCGCCACCTCAGCCACTCTCATCGTCTGCGCCGCCTCGCGAGTCGAGGCCGTCTCTGCCGCGCTCCGACGGCGGCTCGTCGCCCACGCGTGCCACGTGTCTCGCCGCAAGCTGAGTGCGGCCGAGGCGCTGCGCCACGCCGTCGTGCTGACGACGTACGGCCTCCTCGCCGCCAAGGACTGCGTCCCGCCGCCCGCGGAGAGGCTCGCCCTCGCTCAACCCCCTTGCGAGGCTGGCTCTGACCCAGCCCCAGCCCCTGACCCTGACCCTCGCCCTGGCCCTGACCTTTGGCCAGGCTCGCCCTCCTCGCGCCGTGCGACGCTGGCTGGAGGAGCAAGCCCTCTGCGCCCGGCCAAAAGGAGGCGCGCGCCAGAGCCTCGAGGCTGCACGCGCGCGCGTGGGGGCGGCTGGTGCTGCCGGACGCGGAGGGCCTGAGGTGTGAAGAGACGCTGTTCACACCCACACGCCGTGAGCAGGTGCTGCTGGACGCGGAGGGCCTGAGGTGTGAAGAGACGCTGTTCACACCCACACGCCGTGAGCAGGTGCTGCTGGACGCGGAGGGCCTGAGGTGTGAAGAGACGCTGTTCACACCCACACGCCGTGAGCAGGTGCTGCTGGACGCGGAGGGCCTGAGGTGTGAAGAGACGCTGTTCACACCCACACGCCGTGAGCAGGTGCTGCTGGACGCGGAGGGCCTGAGGTGTGAAGAGACGCTGTTCACACCCACACGCCGTGAGCAGGTGCTGCTGGACGCGGAGGGCCTGAGGTGTGAAGAGACGCTGTTCACACCCACACGCCGTGAGCAGGTGCTGCTGGACGCGGAGGGCCTGAGGTGTGAAGAGACGCTGTTCACACCCACACGCCGTGAGCAGGTGCTGCTGGACGCGGAGGGCCTGAGGTGTGAAGAGACGCTGTTCACACCCACACGCCGTGAGCAGGTGCTGCTGGACGCGGAGGGCCTGAGGTGTGAAGAGACGCTGTTCACACCCACACGCCGTGAGCAGGTGCTGCTGGACGCGGAGGGCCTGAGCAGCTTGCGGAGCCAGCGGAGCCAGGCGGCTTGCAGCGTGCCGGCGGCCATCCGATGGGCCCGCGGCAAGCCGTGAACAGCGTCTCTTCACACCCACGGCTGTGAATAGGCGGCCGTCCGATGGGCCGCGGCAAGCCGAGCTGCGCGCGGGAGGCGAGTCCTCGCCCGCACCCTCGCGCGCGTGGTGAGCGGCTCGGGCGGCACGGCGCAGAAGGCTGGCGGGGCGGGGCGGGGCTGGCCGGAGGTTGCGCTCGCGCTGGTGTACGCAGAGGAGGATGCGTGCGGCGCTCTCTCGTCCGAAGACGAGGGCGAGGACGGCTCCGAGGTTGAGGAAGGCAGCGAGGAGGATGGGGAGTGATGTCTAGTGAGATGGTTTGGGGAGTGAGAACGCGGCGCACTCTCCTCCAGTCGACGGTGTTCCACCAGGCCGAGAGGGACCCGGCCCCACCGCGCCGGCCACACCCGTCACCGCATCGAGTGCAGACTGCATGGCTAGCCGCGCGCAGCCTGGGGTCTGGCGTCTGGGGTCTCAATCCGGACACCGGCCGCGCGTTCTCTGCCCCTCCTTTCTCTCTCGAGGCTTCTCTGAGCGCTGCGTACTGCGACTACTGCTGTGTGCTGTGTGCCTGTCCCCGGGCGGCGCGGTACGCGCAACCGCGGCGCACGCGCACGGGCGCAACCGCGGGGCAGTGCGAGTGTCCAGTGTGCTGTGTGTGGCCCCCGGGGGCTGCACATGAGGTGCCGCGGGGGCCGTCGCGGGTCGTTGGTCGAGCGGAGTGTTTCGGCGCCGCGCGGCGCCGCCCACCAGCCCTCCTCAGAACCACCAACCAGAACCACACTGAATACATGTATTCATCTGAAAAATGGAGCTGCGACTTTGAACCGCTCAAAGTGTGCGCGCTCGCCGCTCACACGGCGCCCGGGCCCGCGGCGCTCCCCCCCCCTACCCCTGTGTGGCCCTCCCCTTTGAGTCGGCTCGCCCGCGCACACGAACCCCCCACACTCTCGCCTGGCGTCCCCGCCCGCCACGTCGGGTCCGCCCCCGGACGGCACGGCAACGGCAAACGCATAACCCCGGGACAAGTCCTGTGGCGCGCACGTACATAAGCCCCCCGCGCACCCAAAGCGCTCACGCAAGAACCAGGCAGGCTGGTCGGCGGGAAGGAAAGTAGCCGCCGCGGCTTGTTTCGGAGAGAAGCGAGTGTCCATCTCCGCCTCGCCAGCGACAGGTGCTCACTTTCCCCAGCCAGGGAGGATGCTGCGCAAACCCTGACCGTTCCCCACCGTGTCCGCGCCAGTGCGCAAAACTGTAGGCGCTGGGGCAGGGGGCGGCGCCGGCGCACGCGCAGGCGAGGCGGCAGAACGCTGGTCCGGCGGCACGGCATCGAGCGTCGTGATCCAAGTCGCAAGGGGCCGAGGAGGCCGGCGCGCAGAGAGCACCTCCGAAGTCGCCACCGCGTCCGCTAGGCTCTTTGGCCAGGCGGCTTCGTCTGACGGGATCGTCTCGAACCGGCGAAGACCAGAAGCCTGACTGGAGGCCTCCCTCGGCCCGCCTCGCGCGCCCATCGGACTGGAGCAGAGCGAGGCGGGCGTGCTCGCGTGCCGCGGCATGTGCCCGCCAGCCAGCCCCATGCCCGGGAGCATGTCGGCGCTCGCGTGCCGCGGCAAAGAACCTCGGATGGTCCTCTTGGAGCGCTCGACTTCGACGGCAGCAATCTCCTCAGCGGACACCATGGGGGCGGGCTGGGCGGCGGCTGGCAACGGGACGGTATCAAGGTAGGGCGGCGCCGTTCGACTTTCGAGGACCCCTTCGAGAGCGTTCGATGCAGATTCCGGAAGGGCTTTCTGTTCTTTTTTTCCCGACTATCGGCCTAAATCGGTATGGCGGGTGGAGTGCTCTCTACTGCCGCGGCGCCCCTGTCGGTTCGGAGGCGCCCGGCGGCCGCGCGCTTGGTGCCGACGTCGACCGGCTGCTCTCGCGGCGCCGAGGCGTGCGTGCCGCTTTGGTCACGTCTCGCGCGCTGCGAGGTGTCTTTCGGCATGTGAGCGCTTGGCGTAAACGCCAGGAAGCTCGCCTTCCTTGCCTGCGGCCGCGGGCGTGCGGGCGGGCCCGCCAGGCTCGGCGACGCTCCGCGCGGGGTCTTCGAGCTCGCGACCCGTGACGAGCCAGCATGGCTCGTCGCTCGACGGGAGCCTGCTCAGCATGCTCTCGGCACTCTGTACAGCCTCGACAAGGTGTCTGGGAAGGCCGACAGGGCCGGAGCGGGCCGTCTCGGGCGAGATGGCGCGCTGAATGGTACCATGACTACGAGCTCTCCGATCGGGGCGCCGGCGGCGGGCTTGCGCGGCGCGCTGCTCCACGGCAGGCTGCTCTCCAACCTTTCAACAGTGTCTTTTACCTCGCTCCTCTCGCTGCAACCGCCTGCGGGGGCCAGCGCCGGCCGCCTCGCTTCGCCAGCGCTGCCTACGCCTACGACACGCGCATCGGCTCGCCGCCCGCGTCGCCTGCGGCGGGCCCGCGTGGCGCGACGCTCGTCGGGAGCGTGCTCAGCAGGATGGGCAGCGCAGCCTGCCTCACTCAGAGCGCCGCTGATGCGGCGTGGGGCCGCCGGCGGGGATGCTGCCGCGCACGCTGCGCTGAGGGCCTCACCATCGTGTCCTTGCCGCGTCGCCGACGCCACTTGCTGCTCGCGGCTGCCCTGCCCTCCCCTGCCATCGCGCAAACAAACACACACACACACACACGAGGCGGCGGCGCGGCGAGGCAGCGGGCGACGCAGGGCGGGGCGGCGCGGCGGCGGTGGGGTAATTACTTATTAATTAATTAATTATTAATTAATAATCATATAATCATCGGGCGGCGGCGCGGCGCGGCAGCGATCAGAGAGCCGGCAGTCATCGCAGAGGTAGTACTCAGCGCGCCATCGCACCCGTGGCGGCCCGCCCCGGCCCTGCAGCCCATCCCAGAGGGCCAGGCGAGGCTCCACACAATCCTGGGAGCGTGCTGAGCAAGCTCCCGTCGAGCCACGGGCCATGCAGGGTCGTCGCAGGCGACGCGAGCGAAGAACCGACCGTCGCATCGTAGAGCCTGACGAGCACCGCCGGACCCCAGCGACCACAGCAGTGGACGCCAAGCCTTCTGGCGACTGTAGCGAGCGCCCACATGTCGAAGGGCATCTCACAGCGCGCGAGACGTGCCGAGACCGATACGCCCTGGCGCCGCGCGAGCGTCTGGTGGGCCTCCGCACCAAGCGCGCGGCCGCCGGCGCATTAGCGGCGGCGCAGGACGAGGCGGAAGAGAATGACGCGACGGAGGAAGTGACAAGGGAGAGAACGACGAGAATGGGACGGCCGCGAGGTGGCATGAAGGTTGCAGCGAGAATCGGCGAGAGACTGCGAAAAGAGATAGGAAGAGGCAGACTCCCTAGGGTGGGCGACGGCTAGCGCATCACACTCCTCTCCTTAAAATCCCTGTGTGGTGGCGGCGTGCCGTCCTCCCATCCCTCCCTTGGGTTGTCTGTTTTCTTTCTTTCTTTCTTTTCCAGAAATGGTTGTGTCCCCGCTCCTCGCTCGCCCGGGCGGAGGGCATGGCCGCGGAGGAGGCGAGTACGCGCTGCCAGGCCTTCCGCAGACAGCCTCTTGGCCAGACTGAGGGTCGGCTTTGTGTGGCGTGGCCCGTGCGCTGCGCTGCACAAAGCTGCGTAAACTGCGGGAGCATCCTGTGCTTCCTTTGGGAAGTGCGCACCTCCTTCAGCTGGTGGAAGGCCGTGCCGCCGCTCGTCTGCTCCGTGGACAGGGCGGGGAGGCGACGCCGCAGCGCCGCAGCGTCCGCTGCACGCCGGTGCAGCACTCTGCTGCCTGGTGGGCAGCATGCTGGTGCTGTGCGCGGTGTTTGCGAGGCGGCTTTGGCGCTGTGCTGCCAGCCGAGGCGAGTGGCGCGAGGCACGCGCGGCGCCGCGCGTGGCCCGGATGGCGCCAGAGAGCGCTCTCGATGAGCCAGCCGGCGCGGCGCGAGCGCCGTGCAAGCTGGCACATCGTCTGCATGCTGCCGTCGATTCTCTGGTCGACGGCGGTCAATCTCACGATTGTCGATCAAAACCGGCGGGCTTTGTGACGCCGTTTACGCAATCGTTTTTTGGCCTCGCTTTCTCTTTTGCTTGGTTTTATTTTGTTTTTTCGTTTGCGAAGCGACAGAGGGGGGGGCGGGCGGGCGCTAGCTATGGGCAACTACATGTCGAAGGTTCGAGGACGACTACTCGCCGCCTGGGTCGTTTGGGGCGCGCGGCTCCGTCGAGGACCGGGCGCGCCCCTTACCCGGCGCGGCGTAGGTCCCACTCTGACGTATAGAGGGGAGGCACGGACAACGGCCCAATTCATCAATTCCACTCATCTTCTGGTGCCTAGCCCCGTGCAGCGGCGGTCCGGCAGGCTGCCCCCAAGGCCCCCTGGGCCGCTGCGGGTTTTGGAGTTATGCTTTGGCACAGCTTCGGCGATGGCGGCCCCTCTCTGGGGCTTGCATAGGCGGGGAGTCTCCCTCGCTGGTCTCCTCATTCCCTTTTTTCTTTTTCTTTTGAGCTGGGTGTGCCGCCGCGCGGAGCTCGCGCGGCGGCGGCGTGTGTGTGTGTGTGGCGGTGGTGGTGGGGGGGGGGGGGGGGCTCGAGGGCGCGCGGGGCAGAGGCTCGGTCAACGGCTCGTCGGGGTCGGGGAAGGGGAGGGGGGAATGGGCGGTCGGCGACGAGTAGAGCAGCAGGCGCGTACGGGGTAGCCGTCACTCTCCTGCCTCGAAAGGGCGGGGCTGTCCCGGAAAGTGAGAAACGCCGGGCAGCGTGGCGCATCATTGAACCCTCCCATACGTGCTAGTACTCCTCCTTCGCTGTCCCATCTCCTCATCTCTTTCCCACCTAGGCGGGGCGGGGGTCGGGGGGGCGGCGGGCGCGGGTGCGAGGTGCGGTGCGGTGCGTGCAATCGTGTGTTTGGCGTCATGTCGTGTGTGCCTTCGCTTGTTCCTATTAACAACGAAGTCTAGCTCAAAAGAAAATCTTGGTTGAAGGCGATCGGGATGTTAGTCGCTACCCTTCTGGCCTCAGCCTCGGCGGCCTCAGCCTCGGCGGCCGCTGCCTCTGCTGCCGGCTCCGCCTCGGCGGCCTCCGCCTCGGCGGCAGCCGCCTTGGCGGCTACCGCCGTGCCACTCGTCCGTTCTCCGAGTCTTCGCCAAAGCCGCTCCTCCACTCGTGGAGCGCTATGAACGATCCCGTCATGGGCGGCCGCTCGTCCTCCCGCGTCGCCGTGGAGGGTGCGCCCGCGCGGCTCAACTTCACAGGGACTTGCGCGATCGTGCCGTCGCTGCAGGCTCCCGGCTTCATCACGGCCGTGACCGGCAAGGGCCTCTTCCGCAGCGAGTCCTTTGTGGACGTGTCGGCGTGCGAGGGCCTAACGATCAAGGCTCGCGACTTTTCGGGCGGCTACAAGGGCTACCGCATCTCGTTCGGCACGGCCAAGCCGATCGGCGGCAAGTTCTTCGCGCAAGGCTACAAAGCGGATCTCCACCCGCCCACGCACGCGTTCGGAGAGGTCAAGATCCCCTTCACAGACTTCACCGACTTTTGGGACGACGCGACGGGCAAGGCGATACACACTTGCGCCGAGAAGCACGACTACTGCCCGGATGCAAAGACGCTGCGCGACATGAAGACGATGTCGATCTGGGCGGAGGGCGTCGAGGGCACCGTCCACCTGGAGGTCGAGGCGATCGACGCGTACGGCTGCCGCGGCGCGGCGGAGGGCGAAGGGGAGATGTGAAGGTGCTCGCCGATGCATAGGATCTGCTCTGTGTGACAAACGCTACGGCCGCCCGTCTACGTTGTACTGCCAGCCAGCCGCGGCGAGCGTGTGTATGGCGTGGTGTGAGGTGTGTGTGTTCAGTGTTGGCGAGACGGGAGACGCCGCCGCGGAAAGGTCTCTCTTTTATGTGTTAACTAGGAGATGGGTACGAAACCTACAATCGCCACAGCTGTGTCCAGTCTCCAGACGGTCCACCGTCTGCGTCTCGGTCTGCCGTCGGTCTCTCTCTCTCTCTCACCCCGCGCCCCCGCCGCGGGCTCGCTCTCGCCAGCCCTCAATTCCGATCCCGCCGCGCCGCCTGCGGCCTCGAGTCGGCCTCGAGCCACGCCCTGGCGTGCTCGCGCCCTTTGCGCACCATGCCCGCCAGCTCTGCATCCGTCGCCGGCTCGAGGGCCCAAGAGAACCACTGTGCTTCGGGCACCTCGAGCCTGTCCACAGCGCACCGCGTGAGGAGACGCTCTTCACAGCTGCGGCGCAGGGCGGCATCGAGCCTGTACTCTGCGCGCCGCTCGGGCTGGATAGTGTCTCGCGCAGCAAAGGCAGCCAGGCTGACGCGCGGCAGGCAGCAGACGGCGACCGTGCGCTCGGGCGGCAGACCGCCGGCGCCGGTGAGCGGGGGGCAGCCGAAGCGCGAGCGCGGGACGGAGAAGAAGCCGTCGAGGGCGAGCTGGCCGCGGCACCACACGAGGGGCCACCGCGAGAAGAAGAAGGGCCAGTTGCACGACGCGCACACCTGCACGGCTGCGGGGGGCTCACGGGTGCGTGTGTGTCGGGATGGGCGCGTCCGTGGGCCTCGAAGAGGAGACGAGCTCGGCGCACCGTGTCGATGAGGTCGGCCTTGGACTCCCACTCGGTGACGATGCACGCCTTTGGCCACGGAGTCACGCGCAGGTAGCCGACGGCGAGGTTGTGCTCCATCGCCAGCCGCGCCGCATCCTCCGGCATCAGGACGTCGAGCTGCTTCCGCAGGGCCGGGTTGAGCCGCGTTCCGCTCCGGACGTCCTCCACGAGCGCAGCGAGGCCGCTCAGCACCGTCTCCTCCTCGACGCCACACGCGAGCGCAGCGGCAACGATCGAACCCGCTGACGAGCCACCGACTGGAGTGGTGGGCGAGACCAGGCCTTCCTCCTTAAGGGAGTAGGCGATACCGACGTAGTACGGGAAGAGCAGCCCGCCTGGCGTGAAGGTGAACCCAAGTGCGGGCGGTTTGTCGGCGGTGAGCCGCGGTGATGGACTCCGGCCGCGGTGCGGACGGTGCTGCGCGCTGCCAGGAACGACGAGGCCAGCCGGTGCGCTGGAGACGAGGACGAGCATTGTGGAGTGTCAGCCGCAGTAAGTGCTGGCGACCGTGAGCCACTTGTTGGCCGTGTGGAAATCGCACCTCCTTTTGCCGATCAGCTGGCCACAACGAGGGGGCGGCTCACAAGAGACGCTCTGCCGGCGCGGCCGCCCACATAGTCAAGCTCCCTGGATTCGAGGTTTCTGGGGGGTAGGGTATGGTAGTCTCCCGGCCCTGGCGCCGCGACCATACCCCCCCACCCGCACAGGACGTCGCCTCTGGCCAGCAGGACCATACCCCCCCACCCCCCACCCCCCACCCCACCACACGAGCGTACAGTAACCGTCGTGTTAGGCCGTCCGGTCGTGCGGCACGGGTTCGCGCGATGCAGTCTGCGCGAGGTGACCCGCCGGCAATCGTGCTCACCCCTCAGAGCGTGTCCGCAAAGGCCGCCAGGGCCTTGCGTGCCGGCGCAGGCGCGGGCGCAGGCGCGGGCGCGGTCGGAGCGCGGCGTGTACTGTTGTAACGTGTGGGCGGTACGGCGGCTCCAGCGACTGTCCAGCGATTGACCATACCCCCCCACCCGTCGAGCAGGCCGCCTCCGGCGGCCAGGACCATACCCCCCCCACCCTTTTGGCCGGGACCCCACCATACCTTACCCCGTAAAAAGGTCGAATCCTGGGGGGCGGAGGGTACGGCAAGGTCTGAATTTTCTTCCGCGTCCTTCGCCTGGATTCGGTACTTCAGCTTGGTATAGTATCATGACCCTTCTCGAGGGGGTATCACGGTATGCTCTAGGCCTCTGTGGGGACCCATCTCGGCTGGGTATCAAGGTATCATCGGCGGCCGCGCAGCGAAGCGATAATCACACCTCGACCGAGGACCCAGCCCTCCCGCATGGTGCGCCCCGGTATCTTCAAACTCTTTGCGCTTCCGCCGTACCCGCCTCCCTCCTGCGCGACGCTCATTCGAGCGCGTTGTCTGTCTTGGTTGGAGAGACGCGCGCGCAGCGCGCGAAGAGGTGTGAAGAGGGGGGTCGTGTCCGGTGTGAAGGGCGCCTCGAGCATAATCGCTGGGAGAGTTATGTCACCTGGCAACGTTGCGTTCGTGCGAAATCGATGCCGCCTGCTTTGACGGCTATGTAATCCACGATGGGACTGTCCCAGCTCGCTACTGCCTTCTTCAGAAGAGCAAATGTGAAATGATTCGGCGGATTCCGGATAGCGTTGCTCCAGCTGCAGGTGCAACCTGCGACGAGACCATTTCGGTATATGGTTTTGGTTGGTTGGGCGTGCCTCCGGAACCTAACCGGAAGAGAAAAGTTTAAACTTCCCAGGTGTGAAATGTTCCTTCGCTGCGCGGCCGCCGATGAGACTTGAGACCCAGCCGAGATGGGTCCCCACAGAGGCCTAGAGCATACCTTGATACCCCCTCGAGAAGGAGGCGATGATACTACATACTATAAGCTAACGAAAGTCGAACGTACTATACCAAGCAGCAAGCTGAAGTACTGTGCTGGAGGAATGGTTGGGCAGGTTGTGAGGGACACGATCCCGGCGTGAACACGCATGAACACCTCCTTGATGACCTCCAGCGGGCCATTTGGGGTAGAGAGGTCGATGCTGTTAATCTTGCGGACCGCGTTCTGAAAGGGGGCGCCATGGATAGCTTCTCGGAGCGAGCTGTCCGGAAGGCCGGCCGGCGCGCGATCCAGCTTGCCCAGCGCAGAGTCATCGGAGTCGCCCGTCGAAGTTACGATCGGCGCCTTCCTCGATGACGGGCCCAGCGTGTCGTGAAGCTTGCGCAGCTCCGCCAGCGAGGATCGAATCGAACGGCTTCCCGCTGGCCAGCGCGTGCTGGTAGGTGGGCAGGCGCGCGCACAGCTGGGCATCCAGATCGGTAAGGAGCAGGTCCATAGAGCGCCTGTCCGTCGGAAAGTAGAGCGCGACGAGCTGCCGGTAGGCCTCATACACGACTGACGGGGGTGTTGGCCGAGGCAGCGAACGGAACAAAGAATTGAGCGTCGGCGCCTTGATTGCAATCGCGCACGGGCACCGCAGCTTCAAAGACGGCAGAAACAGTCACACGCAATTAGTACATGGCCCAGCTCGCGCCATCGCCCACACTCGAGCTTTGCAGCGCGCGGGCTCACACTCTACTATAGCCCCCTCGACGCCCACTTCGAGTTCTACTCAGCTAAGGGCCGAACTTGACGCTGTAAGAGCAGCGCGCGGCGAAGCAGTTTGGCGCTTGTGGTGAATCAAATGGGAATCTAGCCCAAGGTCGGAGAGTCGTGTCATTAGGAGAGGAGAGAGTGTGGAGATGTTTTGTGCGGGATCAGGCCCGAGTCCCTAGTGTCGCCGGAGCAGGTAGCTCCCTTTTTCGTAACAGGAACAGTTTTTGGGGGGGGATGGGGGGAGACTACCCGCGGGCCTAGAAGGCCCGCGCGCAGGGGGATGGGGCGGCGGAGGTGGAGGTGGCGGAGGCTCGGCGAGCACGGCTGGGAGCGGCAGAGGGTTCAGGATCCGGGCAAGCGCGGATCTTAGAAGAGGGGTGGCTTTGGTTGGTCACGATCAGGACGGATGACACGTCTGATGCAGACATGCGGTCACCCTCGATTCCTGTTTGTTGAATGTTGAAGCCCTCTTCGATGCAGTCGCAGGAGTGATAACCCATCGAGGTGGGAGCCGCCTGCGGCATACTGAATCCTCCACCAGTGGCGCAAGCCCGCCCGTCCCGAAGCTCGAGCGACTCGTCCACCTTCCCAGCCACACCCTGCACAGCATCCTCCTCCTCCTCCTCACTGTAGTTGTCCCACCCGTCGTCGGAGTTCGTCGCCACGGCGCTCGAAGCGGCAGCAGAGCTCCTCTTCCTCTGCTTCCTCTGCTAGCAGCTGCGCCAGCACTGCCTCCCACTCAGGGTCGGCAGCAGAGCCAGCATCGCTTTGAGCAGAGCAGCGCATTGCCACGTCCTCGTTCGTCGCAGAGCTCCACCGCGGCGAGAGACGTGGTGACAGTGGCGACCGACGTGCCAGTGGCGCGGCTGGCATCGCCAGCAGCGAGGCCGCCAGCATCGCCGCCGCGCACCGCGGCGTGGGGCGCAGCAGCGTGCCGTAACGACATCCGACCTGTTCACAGCGAGCGAGTTCTTTACCAAGTTGCAACCCTTGTTCCGCACTCGGCTGTGAACGCTGCTGGTTGCTGCCGGTTGAGCAGCACCCCGTCCCCATCCAGGTTGTTGGTTGCTACCCCAGGTCCCGCACTATGTAGGTGCCGACTGCTATCTGCTGAAGCACCTAATACCTCGATCGACGATCCTGGTGTCGGTTGCGCAACCTTTTTGCCGACCTCCGAGCCCAGAGAGCGCGCCGTGTCTGATCCTCGTCGGCATCTGCTTCCGGGCCTGGCGGCCCGCCACAAGGACTTAGGTGAGAAAAGTGCCCGCCGAAACATCGGTTCAAACGACGCTCACTCACAGCGCCAATTTGGCCCCAGCTCTTTGGCTCTCTCGCTCCGCTCGCCGGTGAGTTGGTTGGTTGCTGGCAGCACCCCAGCACCGGGGGGTCCTGAGAGCTGTTGGTTGGTGCTCTGTTCACAGCACAGTGCGGAACAAGTGTTGCAACCTGGTAAAGAACTCGCTCGCAGGAACGAATCCTGGCGCGCTCACCGACCTCGGGGTCCACCGACCGACCCTCGTCAGTAGCAGGGATCGTGCCAGGTACTCGCAGCGGCGCTGAGAACTTCGCGCACTGGCACAATCATGCTGCTCCGCCGCCCCTTCGCGATCGCCACCGCCGCCGCCGTCGCCGCCGCCGGTGGAAGCGTGCGCACGCGCGTCTCTGCGACCGGTATGGCCGGCGCTGGCGCTCCCAGAGTCTCGCGCGACGCCTCACAGACCGTCACCATCGCGCCCGCAGAGGGCACGCCCCACACGGCGACCGTCATCGGTCCCATCCACGGACTGGGCGACACCAACATGGGATGGGCAGACGCGGCGATGCACATCCACTCCCAGCTGCCTCACGTCAAGTTTGTCCTGCCCAACGCTCCTGTCGTCCCGGTCACGCTCAACGGCGGCATGGCCATGCCGTCCTGGTACGACATCACCTCCCTCGACGACCGCACAGTGCAGCCGTGCGCCGGGATCGAGGAGTCGCGCGCCACGGTGACGGCGCTCATCGAAGCGGAGGTCGCCGCGGGCCTAGCCCATGACAGGATAGTCGTGGGCGGCTTCTCGCAGGGCGGCGCGGTCTCGCTCTTCACGGGGCTGCAGTACCCGCACGCCCTTGGCGGCGTGCTCTGCATGTCAGGTTACCTGGCCGCGCAGGAGAAGTTTGAGCTCTCGCCCGCCGCCGCCGCCACGCCGGTCGCCCACTTCCACGGCTCCGACGACCCGACGGTGCGCATCGAGTGGGCGCGCCGCTCAGCCGAGCACCTCCGCGCCGCCGGGGTGAAGGAGTACGCGCTGAAGGAGTACGAGAGCCTCGGCCACTCGGCCAGCATGGAGGAGATCGCCGACGTCGTCGCATGGCTGCAGACGCGCCTCCCCCCGCCGTAACTATCCGGATACGCAGCCCGAAGCGGGGACACACAGAGGGGACTAATTTCTTTTCTGGTGCGACGTGAGTCGGCGTAAATTATTTTCTTTTTCGATCTCGTTGTTCGAAATCTGGACTCTCGAGAATCTGGACCGTGGACGCAGTCTCGGTCTCCGGAATCTCACTTTATTCGTTTCGTGCATGGTTTCGTGGGCAGTGTGTTGTTCAGTGTTGAGTGTCTATATGTATGTATGTAGGAAGGTGAAGAACAGTCAGAGTGTCTGTGGTGTGTGTGCGACCCGAAAAAAGAAAGAATTTTTTACAACGAAGCTCCCTCTCATGACACTGGGCACACGAAAGAAACCAGAAACCGCAAACTAGACACTAAAAGGATGGGAAATCCCTGTGTGGTGGCGGCGTGCCGTCCTCCCATCCCTCCCTTGGTTTTTTGTTTTCTTTCTTTTAGAAGGATGGGAGAAGGACAGCTCTGGCAAGGATTTTGGAAGGACGATCAGGGGCAGCAAGCGAACGGGATCAGGGAGCGCATCCAAAGAAAGAAAGAAAACGGACAACCCAAGGGAGGGATGGGAGGACGGCACGCCGCCACCACACAGGGATTTTAAGGAGAGGGGTGTGATGCGCTAGCCGTCGCCCACCCTTGGGCGTCCGCCTCTTCCTATCTCTCTTCGCAGTCTCTCGCAGATTCTCGCTGCGACCTTCATGCCACCTCGCGGTCGCCCCCTTCTCGTCGTTCTTTCCCTTGTCTCGGAGCGCATCCAGTGACAGGGAGACGGACTTGGAGGACTTCTGCTATTTTTTTCTGAAGTGAAACGAAGCGTTGCGGGCAATAATGGAGGAGGCAAACGCTCCGTGCGGGCTCGACCGCGTATCGATTTGCCCCGGTTGTAATGCGCAAGGCGTAATCAAGGTCCAACACGGCTTTCGCGTGATGGACCAGGCGCGAGTCCTTGCCAGTTTCCTCTTGGGCCTTTTCCTTTCCGCTTTCAGTCGTGACAGTGGAGTCTCTATAGGTGTGCGGCGTCTGTGGCGGAGAAGGCTGTCTCGTTGATGGCCAGAAGCAGAACGACTTGAATCAGCAGCCTAGGCCGTCGCAGGAGCAGGCGTTGGCTCGCGTCATCCAGCTTCTCCCAGATGTGTGCGACCTCACTTTGATAGATGCCGTCAGCGATCTGCTCCATAATGGTGATGCAGATGGCGCCCTAAGGCTTCTCTCAGAGTGATTCGCGTTGCCCGTGGCCTTCAACGCCAGCTATACTTACGGTACCTGGATATACCAAAATTGCATCGCCGGGCCGTGGGTGCCGCCGCGGCGGGGGGGCGCGATATGCGCGTGGCGCGCGTGGCGTGGGGTCTCTCCGCCTTCGGATTCTCTCTCCCCGTAACATGCGAGGGGCTGAGCTGTAAAGGTTTGGACCATCCGCGTGTTATCAAAGCGAGACGACGCACACACTGCGGAAATTCGCACTCACCCCCCACTGTCGCCAGACTGTGAGAGGCTATAGGGGAGGAGGGTGGGAGACCATAGCTCCCGCGTTCCCGTCGGGCTCCAAAGCAGGCATAGCACAAGCCGTAACACCGACGGGTGGTGCTATGCGCTTGCGAAACACCGACGGCAAACGTAAATTCGTGGGCGCCCGACGGAATTAATCCCGATTAGGCGCCCGCGACACACTGAATACCCCGGGCGGGCCTCCGCTCCGGGGCTGCTCTATCTCCATTGTCTGCACGCAACCATGGTTATGCCCCTACTGTGTGAATACGTTTTCCACGTAGAGCTCTATTCCAAATGACCTCCCAGAGGCCTGTATTCTGCCGTATTCCACCCGTATTCCACGTATTCCATGGAATACGCCGTATTCCAAAAATGGACGTATTCCGTATAAAATTTTCTTCGCTCCGCGAATTCACACAGTAGGGCTTATGCCCTTCACAGCCTTGTTATTGAGAAGAAAATACCTCCTATGGCGCTGTGCGCTGGCCTGTGAGAGGTTGACAGATAGGGTGATAAGAACGAGAACCTCGCATACGACGACAGTGAGGGTGTGAGAGACAGACCCAGGGAAGGTCTTTCACTACCTTACAGCCCCTGCCCGAGCTCAGGCTCGACAGAGGTCGGTTTGACATTGCGCGCAGCGTACAAGCCTGTATTCACACCGCGCCGGATTTGAGCAGCCAAGCTCACCGGTCGGGATGGCGAAGCCAGCGAAGAAAGCGCCGCCGAAGAAGGCGGCGGCTGCAACGGACAGCGGCGTGGAGAAGAAGAAGCGCGGCCGCCCGTTGGGCAGCAAGAATTCCAAGCCCGCCCAGAAGAAGCCGGGGGCCAAACCCAGGGGCAGGCCTCCGAAGGGGTGCACGTGGAGCGATGAGAAGCAAGCGTACATCGACGACTCGACGGGAGAGGAGAAGAAGAAGTGAAGCAGCGAACGGCAGCGCCTGTGCCGAGGACTTTGAATCGCTCCACAGCGCGATACACTCACACCGACGGTCAAGCATGGTACGTCGCCGCTAGCATGTCTCCTGGTGCGTGACACCGCTGGCTGGCGCGTGTGCGTGTCGTGCCGCAGGCATAGCACAT